TCGGCACGTGATTAGACGCCATGGTGTGGCTGATGGATGGAGGATGTCTTGGCTAACCAATGTGTCAGCTGTCAGTTTTACAAGGATGTGATTGGCTGATGACGCACAATTGTCTCGAACCAGCAAACAGGATGAATTAGGCGGCAATGCAGCAAGCACTAAGCGCTAAGAGGACTGGCGCAAAGTCACAAGTGTGAATTGTTGCCGTTTCGGGGAAGGGAAAAAGGTCGATAAAACTTCCAGTTCGGGCGGTAGTGCTGTTGTGCTGCTGTGTTGGAAGTGCTGCAGAGTGCGCTTCCGGCCTTACTGATGCCCGCCGTCGCTGGCCTCGGATTTGGTGGGAAATGCAACAGACCTGGCTCACAAGGCAGTATTCGTGTTCCGACGCCCGCGATGCCGTGTCGCCCCAGTCCACGATGCGTGAATATGGCTTTATGGAGATGGCACTTTGCCTCGCGTATTATGCGATGAGGAACACACTGCTGATGCGTCACTTGACGTTTGCGCGCACCCAGAGCACAGCACGTGTTGTATCTGCGCGATAGCTCGACCAGACTCCCTTGCGCAGCGCGTCGAATCGAAGATGTCGCTGTATTAGTAGCAGAAAATCCAAGATGATTGTCACTCTGCCGTCCACAGTACACGCCTTCCTCACAAACGCCGCTGCCAGCCTGAGCGCGCACTTCCCCCAAAGCAAGGACCTTTCGGTTGAATCTAGCCTCAGAATCAGATGCCCTTATTAGGTGGGCGAGAGTTCACTGAGAAGTAGCATGAGTGTCAAGAGGGAAGAAGGGGGTGTGTTGTGGTGGGCGAGGAGAGTTGAAGAGCGAGGGAGCGCAGCGAAGGGGCGAGCCCGTTTTCAAAGGTCGCCTGCCCGCCAAGTAGCGCGACGCGCTAGCCCCGGGTGGGGCGGGCAAGCTCGAGCTGCATCACCAAAGTCCGGGAGAGAGTGAGAGCGCGGGCAGGCAGACGCGACAGCTGTCTTTTCCGCTGGCTGACTACACGAGACATACTTGCTCCACGCTCTGCATAGCTCTCCTGTGCATGCTATCCATCTGACACGCGCCGGGTGCCCGGACGGAATACAATGGCTCTCTCACTGCGGGATCGCCAGATCGGTATGCGACTTCTTGATGCGACTTTGTTTGACACGACAAGGCACCGTTACTGACACGTGATAGCTGCCATCAAGCGCATACTAAAGTGAGTGCTAGTACGTGTGCAAGGCCAGCAACCCTTCGCTGACCCCCGAAAGCCTCAACGCCCTCATCAACGACGTCGACGCTGCTGAAGAGTCCACTACCACCACTACCACCACCACAGCCGACATCGAGTGGAAGGTACTCATCCTCGATACCCAAGCGAGGAATGTCATATCGGCAGTACTGCGTACAAACGACCTGAGAGCAGCTGGGGTACCATCAGCCCCTCCAACACGTGGCTACAATATACTGAGGCATACAGGTCACTGTACACTTCAATCTTGCATCCAAGCGAAGCCCCATACCCGACACCCCAGGCATATACCTCATCGCCCCCACAGCCGAGAACCTAGCGCTGGTGACCAAGGATCTGAACGATGGCTTGTACACCCCGGTGTACGTCAACTTCCTGTCAAGTGTCCCCAGGGCACTCCTGGAAGACTGGGGTAGCCAGATTGCATCCTCACCCTCCGCTGCCGAGAATCTCGCCCAGATATATGACCAGTACCTGAACTTCGTCACCCTCGACAGCGACCAGTTTTCCCTAAACATCGAAGATGCGTATCGAAAGATTAACAGCCCCAAGACGTCGGACCAGGAACTGGACGAGCTGATCGATCGCATCGTCTCGGGACTCTTCTCCGTCGTAGTCACCATGGCCGTCGTTCCCATCATACGCTGTCCAACAGGAGGAGCTGCTTCTGATATTGCGGCAAAGCTTGATCGAAAGCTGCGCGACCACATCCTTAACAGCAAGGAAAACCTCTTCTCCGCCAACACAGCGTCTCGTCCTGTTCTGATCATCGTCGACCGCAACATTGACCTTTGCCCCATGTTCAGTCACTCGTGGATATACCAAAGTCTTGTTTACGACGTACTAGACTTTTCCCTGAACAAGGTCGTCGTGACTGTGCCAAACGACAAGGCAAATCCCGAGAGCGGCTCTAAGAAACAGACCTACGATTTGGCGGCCAGCGATTACTTCTGGAAACGCAACGCGGCCCAACCGTTTCCTCAAGTAGCAGACGACGTCACAAACGAGTGGACAAAGTACACGGCAGATGCAGACAAGATCACAAAGTCCACGGGCTCCAACTCTATTGACGATATGGAGACTCAATTCGCAGCTCATCTCAAAGGCGCCATATCTATGCTGCCCGAGCTCCGTGAGCGCAAGGCAACTATTGAGAGCCACATGAGCATGCTCGAGTCGGTCATGGATGGCATCAAGCAGAGGAAATTAGACGAGTTTTTCCAGCTCGAAGAAGAGCTTGGCAAAGCCACCAAAACAACGATCCTAGATATCATCAAATCCAGCGACAAGGGCAACGACCCATACGACAAGCTACGTCTGTTCCTTCAGTGGTACTTGACCACATCCGACGACCTATCGCGCAATGAGCTCGATAGCTTCACACAAGCTCTAGAACAAGCTGGGTGTGATACAACAGCAGTAGCATACGTCAAGACAGTCCGCCAGATCACGCGCATGACTATGTTGAGCTCTGCACCTACGCAACCTGCACAGGCGTCATCGAACCTTTTCGGCGGTTTCTCAAGTTTAAGCAGTCGCGTCACAGACAAATTCAAGGAAGCCGGTTTGGGCGCGCCCAACTTCGAGGGCGTACTGTCAGGCATTAAGAGCTACTTACCCGCTAACACAGATCTGACTCTTACAAAAATTGTAGAAGCCATTTCTGATCCTCAAAGTAAGTGCTGTCGCTTGAAATGTCTTGTCGAGTGATCATGCTAATCGTGGTAAATAGATGCAACATCAAGTGCATTGAACAAGATAGAATCCTGGCTTTACTTCGACCCCCGGTCTGCCAACGCCCGTGGTACTATACCACCAGCTAGTCAGTCTCGAAACAACCAGAGTACCGTCTCCCGCGGTATCGAAGCCTCGTTTGGGCAAAGACGACAAGGCTACACGGAAGCACTGGTGTTCCCTGTTGGAGGCGGCAGTATGGATGAATTCGGCAACTTACAGGCATGGTCGCAAAGGACTAGCGCTGCGGGTGCTGGCCAGCAAAGGCGAGTTGTGTATGGCTCTACGAATCTGTACTCTGCAAGGGACTTCATCGTCAATGAACTGGCGCCTTTGGGTGCTGAGACCACTTGAGCTTGTATGGTCGGCAGTACGCAAGTCACCAGAGCATAGCATGATGTGTCAAAGAAGTGTAACGAATACATGGCTCAACCTTGCATCATGATATATGTAGCGCTCGAGTTATCATATACTTGTGCCTTTTGTTTTTCTGTCTCAGTATACTCTTCGAATGACTTTGATTATGCACAAAGTGAGGTGCATTACATCAGTCAGAAACGCAATGCCAGCCCCTCCATCACGTCACACGGCTTGGTTACAAACAGCCCCTCCTTATTCGGCGTCTAGTATGGCATGACAACCTCGGTTCATTCTTGGGAGCACGCGATACAAAAGTAAAGAGATCAGCCATGCTACAGAATGACCTGAAACTTCAGCCATGCGTTCCCGATTACCTGGAAAACGTGACAGCAGCATGTTTGATCACCCGGTGAATTATAGACGCAATGGCATGTTTGATCGTCTCGTGGGTGTTAAACATGGCTTGTAGTCCTCGTATATGCATAATCTGACATGTGTGGTAAAGCTCAAACGCAATGTATGTTTATTTGTTTTTTTGTGATGTCAGAATCGGGCTGCATGCAGAGAAGTATGCAGAGAATGATCTGAAACACCTTAGCGTATATCGTGATACCCTGCATCCTTCCAATCCTGCGATCGCTGCATCGTTGTTATTGTTGTTGTCGTTGTCGTGGCTTGATAGTGTGTTTGTTTGCTTTTTCCCTCCCTTGTTGAACGTTATCTCAAACGTTCTCCACTAATGTTTGCTTTTCTCTTAACTCCACACCTCATCCTGCTACCCACCTGTCCGAACTTCAGCCGTCCAGCTTACCTTTTTAGCCTTCTTCTTCAGCCGAAATCCTTTGACAGTCGGTCCGCGAACCGGATCCTTCAAGCCACGATACACATGTGTACGATGCTCGATCGAAGGATCAGATCTGGCTGCATACGTGTTTGAGATCTCCAGGGCTGGCTTGGTTTGATGGACGGCGAGGATGGAATCAAGGATGATCAGCTGGATGCAGGTGAGGGTAAAAATAATGACCCATGTAGGTTGCATGGTGGAGGGCTTTGTGAGGGTCGACGGCTGAGTCGTAGTGGGGATGTGGGTATCCTGAGCTGCTGACGAATTAGCATCGATTGTGATGCGTGATGTAGTACGCGCAAGCATTTGATTGCTCTATTGTAAGAGATGATCTAGTGGAATGAATAATTTGATTGGACTTGTTTCTGAGGTAGGAATGTGCTCTAATTTGTTGATCAAAAGGTAGCGTTAGAGAGAGTAAGTCATGTGTGCAGGTTTGTTTGTGCAAGATATGAACGTAGGTCGTACATGTAGCTCGTCAGTATACTTTGCTGGATGATGTCTCCAGCGGATGCGTATGCGAACTATCCTTACATGCTCACATGCTCATGTTGGAATTTTCCATCAGGACCTAAAAGTTGGTGATGACCGGCAATGAGAACTCGATATCAGTAGACAACTATATTGCGCCATAGGTATCGCAGTCACATTGACGACTGTGAACAATCTTCATAATATACAATAATTCATATCTTGGTATCTATACAATCTATATACAACATCAATCTAGAGTCATGATCCCATCCTGTCCATCTATCCCAATTTTGACCATCTACCAACAACGCCAGTATGCAAATGAACAAACCCTATTATACAACCCAGCCCATCACCGCCGCAATGGACCATACACCCTATGATTCCTCACATCCATCGCCCCGCTCCCTGCCAATCGACTGTTGAAGCTGAAATCTCCAAACACCGCACCCTTACTTTGCAACGTCCAACTAACCGTCGGCTTCGGGCTCCCCGTAAAAGGATTCATACTCGTCAAGATCCAACCCCGTGCCAAAGGCGCATACTCCGTCCCCTTGACCACCTCCGGAACGGCGATAAGAAGGGTCTTCGAGTGTTCAAATGGTGCAAAGATGATCGCCTTCCCACTGCCACCTTGAAGTGGCGCGCCCACGTAATCGTACGCAGGCGATGCTGATGTCGAAGAAGACGGCGCAGAGACAATCAATGGCCCATGTGTCCGCTCACTCGCACCAGATGGCCAAGGAATTCCACTTGTGATGAGCGTACTCAGTACATTTACCAACGCCTGCAATGCCGCCCGGCCTTCTTGTAATAAGACAAAATTCTGAAGAATGAGATGAGGATTCATCAGCATCTCGATATTATATGCCGATAGTCTCGGTTGGTTGGTCTGATGTGCCTCGCATAGTTCAAGCCCCGTCGAGACTTCCAATAACCATTGTGGTCCGCAGCTCAATACGCAGGCTAGTGTCTGGATAAAGATATTGCGCAACGCTGGTGTGCGCGGATGATTCGGTGCGTGTGAGAAGTTCCAGAGCCCGCTGGTTCCAGGAATGTGGTATTGGACGCATAAGTCGACTATGATCCTAGCTCGCACGACGTGTGTGGGGAACGATGGGCTGGGTTGCGTTCGGTGGGGGAGATCGAGGAAGATGAGATCGAGCTGTGCGTACTCTGCCCTGCCGTCGTGCGCTTGGATAATTTGATCCGCCTGGCTGGAGAAACGTGGAGGTGGAAAACGGGACAAGGTAGTGTCGAGAGAAGTCGGACGGCATAGCCATGAGACCGAGCCGTCGTGAAGTTGGAGGGGTGGACCGGTTGTGCAGAGTGCGACGGGATCTCGTGCTGCGATGCCGACAAGGAGGAGGGAACGAAGACACTCGTCTTCTATATTTGGTCGCGAGAAGGGACCTGGAGGGGCGAGGGCTATGGGAAGGCCAGATGCGTTTAGTGCGAGGGCGGTTTTGTCTCGGTTTGCATCGAGGCGACGCATGTATTCTGGTAGTCGGGGACTGCCACCTGTTTTGAGGCGGAAGGTATCTGTGACCAGTGAAGTGAATGATTGCATTGTCGGGGCCTGGTCGTGTGGGGTATCTGGTCTGCGTAAGGCGTCGTGTCCATGCTTGTTGAGCGTATCAAGTTCCTGGAAGAATGCCAAAAGCGAGCGTATCTTGGCCGTTACCGGCGGTGTGAATGTAGCGAGTTCGCTAGCAAGAACCAGTAGATGAGTAAAGAATTCTCCCGTGAAGCGTGTGACTGTCTGAACCTCGTCTTCGTAGTGCCGTATGGAAGGTACCAAAAAGACATGGCTTCGTCCCATCTTCATCTCATGCGCACACCATGCGCGATCAAACCAATCTGAGCTGATCACTCGCTCGAGAAAAGTCTTCAGAGGTGTAAACTGCTCCATGAGAGGTGGTGTGAGCCCTGAATTGGGCTCTTGACCCGACGGTAGCTGGGAGTAGCTGTATTGCTCGACATAGTAGCGTAGAAATTGTTCTTCGTCTGGCGTAACAGCGATATCGTCAAGTGCTACGACAACCGCCCTCGCATTCTTGTAAATGACATCAATAGCCCCGATGACCCCTGACTTCTCGCTCTCGTCCTCTTGTTCGAGACATACTTGGTCGAACCACAGTCCTTCGCCTTTGTGCTTCTCTTTGATGACAGCCTCGAACAGTGCAGCACTTGTTGGTAGCGGAAACTGCTCAATCTCCTTCTGCCATCCAAAAGGAAGATCTCCGACTGGTGTGACGACTCGTCTCGGTGTGTTCGCGGTGGTGTGCTTCCTGCAGTAACTGAGTGCGATGTATCCCTCCTCCTCGCCGTGATGGGTGATCTCGTTGATCAATCGAAAGGGGAAGGTGTTCTCCACATGGTTCTTGGGAATGAATTCTTTGATGAGCGAAGGTGCCAAACGACTGATGTTGGACAATAGGGACGTTGCATCGATGTTGGTGTCGAATGAGGATGCTGTCCATCTGTGTCGACTGATCAGGTTCTCTCGTGTCGCAGGTTTAACCATCCGCGTATGCAGACCCGAAGTGTTTAGCTCATCCTCGTCGATATCAAGAAAACTGCACTGTCCGAACCGGGAAAAGTATTGAAAAGATGTTGGCAACGCCATAGGAAAATACATTATTCGCCTAGCTTGACAGAAAGATGATAGATTGTTTGATGCTGGACTGAGCCCTTTACAACAAGGCATCCAGACCCTTTTGACTATCGCACCACACCTCTACCATCAAGACCCATGATCCCTCCCATCTGCACCCAAGGACGCCGGCGCACAGCCGCGCTCTGGTCTTGGATTCAGCTGTAGGAATCGCAAGAGGGACGGTGCCATGCATGAACGTTTTCCGTCAGCTCACTGGCGCCACAAGCGGGCCCACGCGCAACCCTCGCCGCACCGACTACCGCATTGCGTATTTGCGGGGTATGGTGGGAAGTCTTGGCTGGCTTTTGACGGTGGGTTAAGATGTATAAGGCGTAGTAAAGGATAGCAAAGTTTGAGCGATCCAGAGGTTCGGGTACTATTACGGGTCCGCACGGCCCTCGCACGCGCAACAACGGCCACAGCAGGTGACGTCGCAATCTTCGGAAGGGGCAGCCGCAAGGAAGCAAAAGAAATACACATGATATGAAACATGCAGCCTCATGGAGATGTTCCGGTAAACGCCTCAGGGTGGACGCGACATGCCACACGCTAGAAGTTCTAGAAGGTAAAAAGCAATTACAACATGCAACGCCCTTTAATTTTACACGGTACGTAATTTTCCGGAAGAATCCGTGGGAGCGGAAAGTGGCCATGTTGTATCATGGTGATGAAGTTGAACGGTCAAGTTGAGAAGAGGTCAAGTTCTACCATGGCATGTCCTAGTCATGACCAGATCTGAAGCACATCGTGCCTGAGCCGATCTTGGATTACAATAGACTGGCGACAAGAGATTCTACTCCCGAGATCAGAGTGTAAAGATACATGTGTTGTGAGAAACCGGCACCCAGACTCCAGCGATTACCAAGCCCAGGAATGTGGTCCTGCCAAACCTCTCACGTTTCGTGATGGCAAAACTCAAATCTTCAGGCGGACACTACTACCCGTCCGGACGCAAAACACCTTTCAAAACGCAAAGTTGACAAATTACTAAACAGGCGGTTAATCGATCTTTGCATTTGCGAGCCTGTCGTTGGAGCCTGCGATGACGTTGGACATACGGACGTTCTGCCGTTTGTATTTGCTGTGTTTCCGGAGTCGTTTCCGCGCAACCATGACTGGTACCGATGACTTGGTTACCAGGTAGTTACTGAAAGATCCGAGAAGAACACTGCCACAATTAGCATTCATGCAATTTCTATTTGGATAGCGACTTACCCTTTCAGCGCGTTGCGGCCTCGTGAGCCAAGGATTACAAGGGTGGGTTCCAAGAAGTCGATCTGTTAAGCATCTGTCAGCAATTGCTTTAACGTTCGATATGGCCTTGAAGACCTACCACTTCAGTTATCATGTGCTTTGGACTCTTGCAGTGGAATACTTCGACAACAGCTCGTACTTGTAGTCGCGTCTTCCTCAAAAGCTTGACGCAGCGGTCAGACACCTCGACGCATGCCTGGTACCTGTCTTTCTCTGCCTTTCCCATGGCACCCACATTGGCTTCCGTCGCCATTATAGAGCTGGACAAGGCGGAGAATCCAGGCCTTGCCGCTGGCAAACCGTCGTGGTTCGACAGCGTCCTTTTGAGATGATCTGACTCCAGTCGTCCAGTAGTGCCTTGACTGATGGGTGCACCAGAAGCATCAGTCGTTGCAACTCCCGTTTCCTCGTCGACGGCGTAAACTGCTAGGAGGGTATCGCCATCTCGCAAAACGGTGCCGATCGTCCACTCCAGAGCATATGCTGCTTCGTCGCTAAGATCGGTAGACACCAGGTACACACGCTGTCTTCTCAACCCGTTCTTCGCATCTTCGGCAAACTGGACATAGTCACCCCTGATAATTTGTCGAACACAGCGGTGGGCCTCTGGACTTGATTGGATAGGCGAAATGTTCAGAGAAAGCTGCTGAGCTGATTTGATTTCGGCAAGCTCATCCTCGTGATCTGAATGAACCGGGGTCGAGAGACCTGAACCGCCCTGATCGAAACTTGTATGGGGATGTACCACCCCCGATGAGTTCTTCCTTGTCATCCTCTCGCCGTTCGGACCAGTGACATTGATTTGTGGGTCGAGTAGTGATCGCACTTTGTAGGAAACCGCAACTTCTCGACCTGTGTACAGTCAGTGTTTGGACAGTTCGACATCATTCGTTGCACTTACGCTCTTGCTCAGCAGCAGCCAGCAGACTCTTAGCGGTGATGACTTCTCTGCCCATGCTGTCGGTACCTCCAGACGACTTTCTTGACCGCTGTCTGCCTCGCTCTTTTGGCTTCGTCTTTTTCCAGCCATCATCCCAATCTGAGCTGTCTGAAGCGTTGTCGCTGCTCTCAACAGCAGCACTATCATCGCCGTCATCGTCTGTCGCAAGACGCACACCTCCGCCCGGCGCGGTGGCAGTGCCCTTGACGGGATCAACGCCCTTGCGATTGGGAAGCGAAGACAAGCCGCCCTCGGAGCGTGCCAGAGCGGAGTCGGAAAGTTTGCGATATGCTTGGTCCATGTCTATGCTCTTGCCCGAGTCTGTTACGAAAGTATTGCTCGATTTCGAGGCGGGCTGCGTCGGGTTCAGCATGCGCGTTGCTGGAGAAGCAGACCGACCAGGGCCAGGTGAACCAGACTTGGACCTGCTCAAGGGCCCACTCGCAGAGTTGTGTCTATCCCTTGAGTTTGAATTGCCTAGAAAGCCACTGGAGTTGCCGTATACGGAAGACATGGCGCGAGGCTTCGCAGCGGCATCCAGCTTGCCACCTTGAGACACTCGCTTCGGCATAGCGTGTGCATCGATGGAGGGCAGCATTTCGAACTTGTAGGCCGACTCGGGATTCACTCGACGCGGTGACTTGGGCATAGCGAAGGGGATGCCAGTGCTTCCGCGGCTGGAGCTCCTGCGCTGTGCCGGAGTATCAATGTCTAGCATGCTGCGCATGCGCGAGGGTGAGGCAGCCGAGCCGGGACTTTGTGCGCGTGCGACTGGACTCTCTGCACGACGCGGTCCAGAAATTTGGTTGCCTTCGAGGAGCTTGTTCACCTCCCTCATCTCTTCGTCAATGGCAGCTTCGAGTGACGCCATGGTAGCGGTGTGGAGGTAGTCAAGTAAGTCGCGTGCGATGGGGACTGGAAGTAGGTGCAATGAGGCTGAGTACTTGTCGCCGGATGGCAGTAAAACGCGGTCGTGTTCGCGGGGTAGCAGAAGTGATTGTCGGTATCAATTGGTGTTGGGCTAGAGCATCATAGACGCGGCTAGCTGTGTGCTGTCGGGTGAAGGGGCTACAAGTGCCAGCGGTCCAGTGCAGTACCGAGCAGTCACTGGTCTGGAGAGATGTGGGGTGAGCGCGTGATGATACTAATAACAGCAGTGGGGTAGCAATTCCAAAGACTGTAGCTGAAAGCGATGGCGGGCCGAACCGTAGTATATAGCTAACCGCTGTCGGAAAACAAGTTGTTCCCTAGCAGGTTGATGGAGGCGGACGACATATGGAAATGGAACCTCGAGCAGCAGACAATGGAGCTTGTCAGGAACAGTCAGCGCGAGTCGACGGTCGCGGGTATCCTTGGTCCAGGCGGTGGGAAGTGGGCATCAAGCCCCTCAACATCTGGCGGTTTGGCAGTCCTTGGCACGCGAAGATCACTACAAGTTGCCCACGCCGCTGACGCAGGGACCAAAATGTGGCCTGGGAACAGGTCTGAAGCTGCGTGCGGATGAGGAAACTCTTTCCGATAAATTATCGCTAATACTAACCAAGCTGTGTGCATGTCGAGTTGCTCAGAATCAACGCATTCCTTCATCTGATGCTTGGCGGCTGGTGGAGCAAATGTGGCTGTGCTTACGGGGCTACTTGCCTGGTCTAGCCAAAAAGCACATGTCAAGTTACCTCATCGCCCAATCCCAGCCACCTTAGTTACAGCGGAAAGACACGGAAGGCTGTTGAAACGGTAACATTGGTAAATTTGGTAAATATATATATTATACATGACATTCTTTTCGCATGACAAGACGCTCTACCTCTTCCGGGGCAGAACAATGTTGGCTCGTGCAGCAACACCAAGCTTGTGGATAGCGTTGCGCCTTTCCCAGATGCCGCTCGTGCCCTGTACTACAGCAATGAGCTCAGAAGCAATGCGCTGAGCAAGACTGCCCTTGCCACTGCCCGAATTCCTCCTCCTAGATGCAGCGGCCATGATCCACTGGATAGCAGCACGCCGCCGTTGCCTCTGGCCCAGCGGAACGGGAATCTGCAGAGCGACACCACCTCCAGCAGCACCACGCTGGCTTCGAATGCGCATGAGAGGAGCGACCGAATCGATAGCGAGAGTAAGATAGAGTACAGGGTTGAGCGGAAGGTGCGATGGAGGTGGCGCGCCGGGGAGCAGCGGTCGCGCGGGGTTAATGGTGGGGACGGGTGATGTTCGAAGATGTTGCAGAATCAGCGCCATGTTCTACAAGTCACGTCAGTCGTCTGCAGGCTATGTCTTGGGGTTGGCTGACCTACTCGCTCTGCAACGCTCTTCTTGCCGTGTCGCATGAGCAGATTGGTGACCTGGTCGACTACGGGGTCGTGGCGGTGCTTGACGTGACCGTCCTTGGGCAGAGGCAAAGAGGGCATGTCAAACTTCAGTCCTGGCATCGCTGGTGCTTTGGACACAGACTGGAGGTCTACGAGGCCCATGTCGATGCTGTTGTTTCCACTTGACTGTGTCGTCATAGTCGAATATGAGCGTGATCCCTTGGGTGCCATGTTTGGTGTCGTCTTGGGCTTTTGCGAGTTGAGCTTGTCCTGCATCACCTTGGGCAGGTTCGCTTGCAAGTCCTTGTCTCCCTTGACTACCTACTACATTGTTAGCCTCAGCCTCGCGTTGCATGCTATGGATGACCGCACATCTTCAATCGAGGTGCCCTGGTTTAGGTCGGGGCCATCTTCTCCCATTGTTTTCGCCATGGACGCTGCCTCCTCAGAAACATGTTCAATCGGCTTCGCGTCCTCTCGCTTCGTTCGGTCGTTGGCTGGCGGCTTGGTGGAGTCCGAGTAGAGGCGGCATTGCGACGGTGACAGGCGAAGCGCTGCTCGAGCAGGAAATTGGACTTGAGGTCTGGGCCGGAATGCGATCGACCGCGTAAGCGCGGGGAAGTTTAATCGTGGTGGCATGGCGTTGTGTTGTGTAGTCGGGCTGGTGATGTTCTTGCAAAGTGACGCCGAATATTCAAGCCGATGTCGCGCCAACGTCCGTGCGCAAACTACAACAGCCGCCTCCAATTACCCCAGATACATCCGTCCAACACGTATCACGACAAACAACCCTGCAACCCGGAATATGACAGATCAACTCGAACCAACATTGAGAAGATGCAAAAGTATTTGCGGTCTATCTGACAGTGGCAGAAAATATCCGTTTGGATTGTCTCGAGTATTGACATTTCTTCACGAGAGCCTCTTGCAACATACGCGCGGGAAACACGGAGTCACTTTCGCTATTAGTCTTGAAAGCCCCCGGAGGCTTCAGTCAATTGGAGATGGTACTGCGGATTGGCGGTCTATCCAGTGAGACTTGGACACCATGGTCCAATGCTAGTCCAGAGAACGTTACACATGAGATAAGACAACCAGTGAGTCAGCGGAGAAGACTAGAGACGTAATGTTCAGGGAGCGCTTTCCTGATGCTGCTGGATTGTATTGGATGGCGATGGCGGCGTAGCAGCTGTGGTCGAATTGCTAAGCCCGCTGGGCCAATTCTCCTTTTGAGCAAGTCAATCTGAGGTCTCCTGCGGCACTCAAGCATATATTTCAGCTGCGGAAGCTTCTTCAATTGGTAAGTCAGGGCTCCTGCAAGACGGTCTCAACTGCCGCCAGCCCACCGCTCGACCCTTCCATAACGTGACCACCCGGCAGCAACGCGTCAAGACAGGTCTTAGCTCCGAGAGTTAACAACAGATGTTCCCTTGCTTCCTCCAACTTTCCTGTCTTCCAACTTTTGGACTCTCACACAAGCTATTCAACTCACATATTCACTATTCTCTGCTGTCGCTCGCTCAACACTCAAACGTCTACAACATTAGACCTCAACACTATATCCACAATGACGGGACGAGGGCGAGGGCGTGGTGGCGGTGCAGGTTACTACAAACCAGCTCGTGAGGTGGCCAGGGTCTACGGGTAAGCCGCACCAAACTATCGATCAGATAGTGCGTCACTATGGTAGACGACGCAGCTATGCAGACAGGAGCCTCTATACAGGTACATACGTAGGTTTCTAACATTCACACAGCAACGGCCAATTCCCCGCACCCAATCCACAAGTCGTCAAGCTAGAGAACGAAATGGTCAAACCTGGCTTGTCACCAGCAATGGCCGCCAGCTCCCTGGATTTCAAACTGCCCTGCCGGCCTGCCTATGGTATGCAGGGAAGGGCTATCGCACTGTACGCTAACTACTTCGAATTGAAAGCCGCAAACAAGAACAAAGATCTGTACCGCTACTCACTCGCGTTTCAGTCCGAGGAAGAGTCAGAGTTGAAGACCAAGAAAGTCAAGAAGAGGCGGGTGATAGAGATACTACTGGACATGCCACCCTTTTCGACACTCAAGGTTGCCAGTGATTGGACTCAGAAGCTTGTATCCGCACAAAAGATACCACTCGCCGAAGAAGGCCAGGAGTATACCATTGAATTCTACCACAAGGACCGTGGGCCTTTGCCTCCACCCACACCCAACGAAGAAGCCAGACTAACAGAGGCTCGCACACGAAACACGTATCACATACGCGTCCAAGCTATCGGCACTGTCTTGCTCGCAGACCTTTTGCAAGACCTGTCTGGACCTAAATCCACCTATCCACTGAAGCTCGAGGCCATTGATGCTTTAAACACTATCATGGCACATGGACCCAGCACTGCGCTCAACATCATCACTGCAGGAAACAAGTTCTTCCCTTTCGGTGACCATCCCCAAATGGAGTCACACGACCTCAAGGAAGGTCTTCAGGCTCACCGCGGATACTTCACCAGTGTGCGTACAAGCGTGAGCAGATTGCTCGTCAACCTCAACGTCGCGACCGGTGCCTGTTATAAGCCTGGGTGAGTTAATTCTACGCAGGACTTTGTTTGCGTTGTATACTAACTCTGGCACCCATACTCAGACCCCTTGTTGAAATGATGAGCGAGGTCTGTGGAAGTTACCCACCACTTAGCGAACAGCATCATATACAGGTTACGAAATTCTTCGGCCCCATCAGAGTCGAGACGAACTATCTGCCCGACGACAGTAGCAAAAACAAAGAGAATAAAGGAACCAAACGTCAAGTGCGCACCGTAATCGTCGCCCCTTATGGAAAGAACGCAACGAATGTTACCTTCCCCAAAACACACACCAATGGAACAGTCACTCACCCTACAGTCCAGCAGCACTTCCTGGAGGAGCACAACATAAGACTCCATTACCCCCGAGCACCTTTGGCCAATGCTGGAATACCTAAGGACCCGATTTGGATACCCGCTGAGCTGTGCAAGATCCTGCCTGGTCAGCTAAAACGAGGTCTGCTCACATCTGAACAAACGGCCAGAATGATCACATTTGCTGCCCGCAGGCCACATGCAAACGCCGAGTCAATCACTGGCAATGGCTTGACAGTTACCATGATCAATCCAGTGGTAAATGGTGAGAATACGAACTTGAAGGGATTCGGCGTCAAGGTCGACCCCAGAATGATCACTGTACCTGGCCGGATTCTGATGCCTCCAACTGTGATGTATAAAGGTTTGAAGAACCGGACCCCGAACAACGGGACATGGAACTTGAAGGTCTCAGAACTGGGTCTTTCGCCATTCCGCGTCGTGAAGAAGCTGGGTGAATGGTAAGCTTACCTGGACCTAAAGTGGATGCAAGACAAGAGCTAACATATACACCAACCTCTAGGTCTACACTCGTCATCAATTCCGGGAGATATGATACGATTCCAGGCGGAATCGAGGGCCTCAAGGCCGATCTGCACAAGTTCCGGGAGGAGCTCAACAAGTACGGTCTGAATCTCATCGAGCCTCAAAAACCATGCATCATCAGCATTCCACCAGGAATCCTGAAGGACGCGAAACGCGAACCAGAACTTGTGGATACTATTCGGTCATTGGTTGAGACTGGGCTGAGGACTCAATTGCCTAAAAAACCAACCTTTTTGTTGGTCCTGCTGCCCAGCGACAACATTATACTTTACGACACACTCAAGTCTCTGTTTGACTTGACGTACGGAATACCGAGTGTCTGCTGCGTTGGCAAAAATTTCGACAAGAAGTCAGAACAAATCTACGCAAACGTCGCAATGAAGGTCAACCAGAAGCTCGGTGGCGTCAACCACGTGGTTGATATCAAGAGGATGACACCACTGGACACGCAAACCATCATCTTCGGCATCGACGTGACGCATCCATCTCCTGGAAGTTCGGAAACCGCACCAAGTATCGCTGGTGTAGTGGCTTCGATCGATGCAATGTTCTCGCAATACCCCGCGAGCATGCGTCGCCAGCAGGGTTACAAAGAGATGGTCACGGACCTGGAGGAGATGATCATTGAACGTCTCCGGTTATGGCAAAAGCGCAACCAAGACCATCTCCCAAACAAGGTCATCGTCTACCGCGACGGAGTGGGTGAAGGCCAGTACCAGCAAGTCGTCGAGACTGAAGGTGAATCGTTCAGCAAGGCATTCGACAGACTGTACGGCGCCGAGGCGAAGCACCCGAAGCTCTCCATCGTCATGGTCGGTAAGCGGCATCATACGCGTTTCTACCCGACAAAGATGGAGGATACAGATGGGACTACAGGCAATCCGAAGCCGGGTACTGTCGTTGATCGGGGTGTTACTGGCGAGAAGTTGTTCGACTTCTTCCTGCTTGCGCATCAGGGTAAGGAAGCCAATCCGCGTAAAGTGACATACAGCTAACTTCTGATAGTATGTTGCTCTCTCTGTCACCTACATCATCAAAAGCACGAGAAACCGGAGAAAGCATCCAAGACTCTACCACCGCCATATACAGCTCGAAGACCGTCGTCAACACTCACCTCTCTCTATAAGAAGCAACATGATTGCTTGTACTGATATCGTGATAGGGACTACAAGGCACTTCGCGACCAGCGCACTACGTCGTGCTCAAAGACGAAAACAAGTTCGGAGCCGATCAGCTCCAAACCCTGACAAACAACCTGTGCTATACCTTCGCTCGCGCCACTCGATCTGTCAGCATATGCCCTCCAGCATACTGTAAGTGTCTCTGTACAGACTGCTTGTGAGAATTGTTGATTGACTTGATAAAACCACCTTCAGATGCAGACATCCTTTGCGAACGCGGTCGGTCGTATTTAAACAGCGTACTCAAAGGCCCTGGTGCGGCGTTGAGTGAGAGTGCTTGGTCGCGAGATGTAAATCCGGCACTAAGCGAGACGATGTACTACCTCTAAGGGGGAACTGAGGTATGCGGCAAGCAACGAGCGAGTTGTATTACTTGTTCTCTTGCATTCCCTGTTTACTGAGGCAATGCAGCGTTGCTTTTTGCCGCCACCCCACTTCTATCTCGACATGGCTGTCTCCACATTTGCCCAGATGGAATTGGCGTTGGTTTTGTTTGTTGCGTAGGCGTAGACGGACAGGTATTGCAGACATGGTATTGGTCAGAATTAGGTAGGCATAGCTGTCAAACTCCAGTCACTCGTTCAGGCTTTTTAGTTTATTGCATGGCGCTCAGCTCAATAATGTTATCGTCACGACTCGGGCATGCAAGGGTCTAGGCGCGAGTGTGCTGCAGGGCGTCACGGGGTCGCGGTCGCCTTTCCCCGCACTAGCCCGGAGCGACGACAGCCAACCACATCAGGTCTCCCAGCCACTCCGTTTCACCCCACTGCAGCCCTGGACAGCACACGGACGGTTGATCTCGCTCCTCGAATGGATTAGCTTATCGCTGGTATACGGAGAGCAGAGAGGCCCGCCTTCACCATGAGCGCATTCTCTCCCGACACATTCACGACCAAAGCGCTAGGCACCCGCGACACTGCACGGTTCCTGCCCCGATTCACGCGTCACAAGGGTACTCCCATGTGCCTGCAGAGCCCCCCACACTGTGAGACCATACCGCCATAGCATACCAACACCAGCCTTGCTCGCACCCGTCCCCATTCCTCCACCACCACCGACTGCGCGCAAAAGATGATGGACACAACGGATCGCGGCAGCATATACGAGCACGACATCCCGTCTCTGAGCGCCTCGCTCGAGGCCTTCGACCCGGAGCGCAGCATGCACTCGGCCTACAGCGGCCGCTCCAACATGCATTCGTCGCGCTGGAGCGTGCCCCAGGACGACGTCGACTCCGAGACTGAGTCGGACGGCCCATGGGCGCCCCCAGCCTGGCAAAAGTCCCAATCGAGCAACCACTGGTACAGGAAGTCGCTGCTGGGCGAGAGCGCAATGCGCAACAGCCCCTCCAAGTCGCCCTTTGAGTACCGCACCGACCGCGACGTGACGCCCTCGCGCATACCGCTGCCAGAGTCGCCCTACAAGATGACGCCGCGCACAAGCCCAGAACCTATACCTGAGGAGGAACAGCGATACATGTCCAACAACATCGCGTCGCGCCTGCAGAGCCCATGCGAAGACCCCCAGGCGAGCGCGGGCGCATTGCACGGAACCGAATCAACCGTGTCGCAACACGATGAGGGGCCAGTAGAGGGGTGTAAGTAGTCGCTGTTCCCTCCGCGCGCGCGCGCTGTGCAATCTAACAGCCATAGTCATGCGCTTTGCTTACAGAGGAGAAGCCAAGTTCCGCACTGCGCCCATTGAAGACACCATATCCACCGTCGCGTCTGGCCTTCACATCTTTACGAGGTCGCGCGCAAACGTCATCTTCACGGTTGCGACCGTCTTCTTATCTTATCTCTTGCTGCAGCCCTGGCAAGCTAGTCTCATTCCGGATGTCGCGAATGTCGCCAACATGGCCAAGCAATTCGAGCCGCTGCTTTACGCTTCGGAAAGTGTCATCCCCCGGTCGCGCGAGCTGGCTGATGCTAGTATCGCAGTCCAAGACCTGGGGGAGAGCGTGCGCGCGACAAACATGTCGGCGTCGTCTGTCATCATCGACCAGCTCGACGACTTGGGCGATAGCCTTAAAATCCTATCAGAAAAGATTACCAGTTTCTTCACCAATGTAGACGGCGATATGGACTCGTAGGTATATATCTGCCTTGACCTCATTACACCTACTGATCTATTCTCGCATCGCAGCATCCTCATAACCATGGAGTGGGCAAAGCGCGAATTGCAAAGCATCCAAGGCCCTAAAATAGGCATGATCGACACCGTCATCGATAACGTGCATGGCGGCCTAAGTAAAATCGGTCTTCTGGAACGCAACGACGGGTCCCCAACAGCTATTGGTCATGTTGTAAACGATATCCTGGGCCACACCACCCAACAGCGGAGCAAAGCCACTCTGCAACGTACTTTTGACTACCTATTGTCTACGCTGGAAGAAAACATTGCTAACGAACTTGCGCGCGCAGACGTGCTTTTCCAGCTCTTTGAATCTGTAGACCGCCAATTCCACAACCTGCACCGCTCCGTTGCCAAAGAAGAAGACAGTCTTGCCAATCGCAAAGACGAGTTCCTAGCCAGCATGTGGCGACAAACCATCAACAACAAGATGAAGATTAAAAAATACGAAAAAAACCTCAAGCTGCTGAAAGATGTCCGGGCGTCGACGTTGATTAACAAGTCGGAACTCAAAGTTCACATTCAAATTATACATTCGGTGAGGGATCAGTTGGATAAAGCCAGGAAGAATTTGATTAGTCCGTTGATTAGGGCGGCGCAGAGTAATAGCTTTGGAATTGATCAGCAGCTTAGTGATCTTACGGGCACGTATAGTTTTCTTAAGACGCTGAGGGATGATCAGAAGAAGAAAGTTAGGCAGCAGATGTGGGGGGAGCCGAAGAAACGCATTGCGATTACTGCTGGGGGTAAGGAGGAGATTGAAGATGGTGAGGAGAGCGAGTGAGAAGGAAACATTCTTTGGTTTTTTTTCCTAGGCTTATCTTCTTTCGTCTCGCTCTCTCTCTCTCTCTCTCTCTCTTCACCTGGCGGCGTTTTTTTCTTCTACTTTTGCATAGCGAAACTTGAGCTTGGCTACTGCTGCTACTTCTTCTGATCGTTCTAGCATGGCGAAATGGTTAGACAAAGGAGGAGTGGGGTGCTTACTCCAGACACACACACATGATGGCGTCGAACGAGATGCTGGGCGTATTGGATGGGACTCATGTACAGGCATTGTTGCCTTGATATTTTTTTGGAAGGCGAAGAGGAACTGGGTGGAATATGGACGGGATTGGTAACACATTGGCGTTTGAGTAGCGATGTATTCGCATTATGTATGTAGGAACGCATTTCAATTATAAAGTTAAAACATGGTATGAGCTGGAGCGGACACTAGGATTGGACGATCAAAGCTGCTCTCTTATTAGCTGCAGCTATGTACCGCGATTGCAAAGGCTACGCGAAATGGCGAAGCTGCGATCTGCATATTCAAGTATTTACCAAAGCACAAACCAATAACAATTGCCATACAAATCAAGCCTCTAGGAGACCTGAGGATGTGATCTGCCTGCTCGCTGCAGCCAGCGCATACGCGGAGACTGGGGGTCTATCTAATAGGGTAAATGCTGCTCACCGATCAAGCCTCCAGCCACCCCGCGGCAATACGCAGTATAAAGCTGATTGCGACAAGCACCCCCGCCCCCTAACCATACTACTGTAGATCTGCCTCTCTTCTTCCGCCTATCGTTATTTCATTTCCCCCCCACCCCTCCCCCGGTCTACTAGAAAAACGGGCCGTTGCGTTCCAGGTGTTCGCCAGAATGGCACGAAGAGCGCTTATGCCTCTGCATGACAATCCTGACAGTGAAAGGCTGGTGGAATGGATGAACGAAGTCCCACAGTACAGTCTCAACGATCAAGAGCCGTCTGACTGGACCCCTTTCGAAGGTTGCACCTGTTGTAATGGGCTTTGTTCCATTCTCGACTCTGCAGATTCCGTGCGTCAACTTCTCGACGGGCAGAGAGTCCCGATATTTCAAGGGCGATACGAAGAGTTAGCAAGCTTTGCCATGAGAGGCTGTGATTTGGCGGAATATCTGAGGCTTTATCTGGAGTACTACAGGAAGACAGACTATAGGTTCGACGAGCCGGTAGACCTGGCTTTCCGGCGAATTGATAAAACCGGTCCAGAAAGCCTGCGATTGGTCTCAGTTGAAGGAAGCGAGGATGGAAATGTACATCCCATGTATCTCGCTATTGCGACCGTTCATAGTAAGTCTACTCTCGCTTGCTCTATAAGATACTAAGAGCGCTTCATTAGGCGATCCAGCATCTGGTATAGCCACTATCCTCCCGAATAGTGACCCGATGTCACCTCGAAGCTTGATGTTAATTCGACACTGGCTAGGTAGTTGTGCTAGTCTTCAGTCTGAACACGAACTATGTCCAGACCTGATGCCAGTTCGGACGGAACTTCCTACACGCGTGGTTTATGTTGGTACGGATGATGGGCAGGATCCGCCAAGACTTTATCCAGGCAACGGGGAGGTCGCTGGATATGTAGCTCTTAGCTACTGTTGGGGTGGCTCTCAGAGGCATCAGACTGAAAGGAACAGGATCAATCGATACATGCATGTCTTACCAGTAGAACGATTACCGAAAACACTCCTAGATGCCATTCGCCTCACTCGCGCTCTAGGGATTCAGTATATCTGGATCGACTCTCTTTGTATCATCCAGGACTGCGACGAAGACAAGGATCATGAAATCACAAAAATGGCCAACATATACAAGAATGCGGTCTTAACGATTTCCGCTGCAACAGCTGAGTCTTGCGACGAGGGATTTTTGGGCGTGCAAGAGAAGAGGGTTCAGCTACTCCAAAAAAATGCCATCAACCTCCCAATAAACTGCCTCAATGGAGCCATTGGGTCTGTACTACTGTATCCTTCCAGGTCACTATCTCGAGATACCGACAGGCTTGTAGCAATCGAAAAAAGGTCATGGACTTACCAAGAGCAATTACTGTCTCGTCGCGTGGTTAGTTTCTTCGAAGATGCCATAGAGTGGAGCTGCTATTCTTGCCATCTGTCCGATGATAGGCTAGGGAACGACGAATTGGGTGCAACGGATCCGGCATACCTGGAATCAACAAGACCATCATATGAAAGGTCATATGGTGTGGGCCAGCTTTTACGCCTCTTGCCCAGGCATGAAATCAAATCTACAGAAGAACTTGCGACTTTGTCCTTGTTTTGGCAGAGGGCAGTGTTCGAGTACACGCTGGGAACTCTGTCGAATCTAGACGACAGACTTCCCGCAATTGCTGGAATTGCGTCTGAGTTCTACAAGAAAACCGGCGACGTTTATATCGCGGGGCTTTGGAAGTCGTGTTTAATAAGAGACTTGCAGTGGCGAACCCGTCGCCCATTGTACGAGTCATCGAACACCTTCGGTAGTAACGATTTCAAGTATGATGCCCCTACTTGGACCTGGGCATCTGTCTATGACTGCGTAATTATATTCTCCAGCGCGGAGTATGATATTGATTCAGACAGAGTGGAAATTATTGACTGCAAGGTCAATCGAGTATCAGCCTCTGCACCGTTTGGATCTGTCAATGGTGGAGAACTCAAGATTCGTGCACCACTGAAATTCCTTAGTGACAGAGAGGTCGAGGAGGTGCTGAAGCTGACACGTCTTAGCGACAAAGCCCTTGACGAGATGCTGAGGCTGAAACAGAGCAGGGAAATGTTCATTGGAGTGATCTTTCCTGACATGAGATCGCGGCGTCACGGCGACGAGCCTACTACACTACGTGGTGGAGCAGCTCTACATATCGAGTCAACGGGAGTCTGGTTTCTTGGCTTGTCAAAACACGCAGATCTCGCTTACGAATCCAGTGGTTTAGCGCTTGCGAAGCGGGCAGATGGTCTTTTTGAACGGATAGGGGTCTTCAGGATTTTCGTAGGCGACAATTGGCTCAAATATGGAACGACCCAACGTGATGAGCTTAGGTTAAGCTGGGGCGATGACTATTTAGTCACTACTGTTAATATTGTCTAGGAAATTAGCTGAACTATCCTTGCTACGAGCAAAAAGCAAGGACAAAGACAAAGGCAAACAAGGTTGTAGGTGCTGGTGACAGAGACTCCACACTCTCTAATGATAAAGGCGACGAGATGGATGTTAGGTGATTGATAGATATCTTTCCAGCTGTTGCTCATTTGGTACAGAGTTGAGGTGGTGCATGTAATTTCTTAGCAAGTTCACGAATGCGGACCAGTTCCGCTCGTTTATCAGCGATGTCAGCCGTCACGCGCTGACAGTACGGGGTATGCTTAGGTAACCAGATTCATAACAGTATTAGAACGAAGTTCGAGCATCCCGGATTTGAACTTGTTGCAAATCGGTATCAACTCCAATGTGCACACATCATCATATTCGCTTGCATTATACTATTTCGTCACTAACTCAATACAGACTATATGACTATATCTCTACTGTAAATCACATGTTGCTTTGCGACAATGCGACATTGGTAACAACACTCGAATGCTGACTTCAAGATGAGCGTCGATTGGCGTGCGCAGTTCCTGAGTCCCTCCTTCGACTACTGCTGGATAGTCGGCTTGATGCGGTCGTTGTCACCCTCAGCAACGCCTGCGATTTGACAACCTGTTGTAGTTCCTGGTATCTGATCATGAACTCTGTCAGATCGCTCTCACTCCTAAAACGCAGATTGAGCCTCGTCGATGAAGCATCATCAGGCTGATAGACCGGGTATCCGTCGTCGCCTACTTCTATTGCAGTCATAGTAGTTGTGTCCAGTTGAGAGCCATGAGATTTGCATGATATGTTGATTACGGCTTGCTGAGAGTCAACGATGGTCATCTCACCTACGTTCACTAGTGTATTTGTATTAGCTGGACAACTTCCAAGGGGAAAAGGTGGTGGAAGCTACCTGATCCGCTGCGCCAGAGATAGCCTTTTCCCGGCCTGCGATTCCGGTGACGGAATGAAATTTGTGCCACCTGTCGTACACTTGACTGGACTTCTAAGCATCGTTTCCATAGAATAACGTCTGACTCTCCGTAGTTCGTCTTTGGCAGCGTGTTTATCTTCTTTATTTCCACATCGGAGGCAAAAAAGCACATGGTCCAGCCTGTAAGAGATTCGAACATTTGTTTCAAACCTGTCCAATCAGCTTTACTGTCTTCAGATCTTATTTGAATAAGAAACACGTACCTTCAGGCAAGAACGTAGAGTTCTCAAAGCTGCACGGAAACGTCATCGAGTATTCACTCAACACTAATGCGCTCTCTGTGTATTGCGCAATCTTAGTCTCGTCCTTCCAAGGCTCGTTGTTGATGTCTGAGTAGTAGTGAGGAGTCGATACTTGGTCGAACCGGATGACCATAACGCCGGATTTTATTTGAATGTCCAGATCGAGGTTCGACCAGTGTATGAACGCCCGGAAGGTGCTTTTGGAAGGCAATTCGTAGGTAGCTAGACAGGCTAAGCGATAGCCGAGGGTTTCGTTGTCACATAAATCTACGACAAGCAGTCTTTGCTGGCCCACAATATTAACCATGCGCCATTCCTTAACGCCATCTAGTCCGCTGTAGATGGTACAAAAATCTGTCTCGACTACCTTGGCTATTCCAGCTTCTGCGAAGAGCAATATGATCTCATTGTTCGGCTTCTCGGAATCGTATATGCAGTCCCAGCTCCGTTTATTGTTCACAGTAGGTCCAGGGTTCCATTGGTTGCAATCGGACCAGCTCAATGTGAGACTCATGTCCTTGACCACGAAGTTGAGATCCGTCAAAGGTAACCAGAACGAGCTGCACGTCCGTTGATTGTGAGACTCGTGCTTGTAACTTACGACTAGTCGGCGCGTTTTGAGCCAGATTTTCGACATCTCACTGTAGGATTCGTACACATATAGCATATCCTTTTGGAGGCCGCAATTCTCATTTGTCTCCATTGTTGGTTGCTTCGCCCTGATGAGTAGATCCACGTTGGGTAAACATAGAATAAGGCGCTCTTTTCGCCCGTCGTGATTTGGTCGAGGAACACAATTGCATGTGTGCAAGGAGTCAACGGGTGGTAGCTTTAGATGATGCACAAGTCCGCTTGACCACTGTACGAGACCCTGCGATCCTATGGACGATTCAGCAAAACTCGTTGGATGGCCGGTCGTCGGTGATCCGCAGCCGAGCGATGGACTTGGTGACGAACCTGTATCTTCGACAACAACAACGACCGGATCGTTGTTAACAGGTACAGATTCGTTCAGAATGGAAGTGCGATCATCAGCCGCGATAGGAGTTGAGGGTAGGGATGAAGGATGTCGTGATGGAGTTTCCTCTAAGTCAGTTTGCACGATAGTCCCCTCGGGTCTCTTGATCGATGCAGTTCCACTCCCACCTTGACAGCATGGGCCTATGAGGCTGGAATCGTTTCTACAGAACCACTGAAGGACTTGTTTGGCATCAGGTCGCGAGTTTCGATCCTTGTACATCTGAACGTTGTGAGCATACGCAATATTGAGATGAGCTGTGATCACTCACCATTTTCTTGATCAATTGCTGGATATTCGTCGCGAGTGTATCATGTTGAATGTTCTCGAGTGAGAAACCAGACAGCCATTTGTGCAGATCCTCTAGGCAATCTTCATCATATATTCTACGCAAATTGCCACCAATACGCTCTGATAGCTCGGTCATGGGTTTGCCAGCCAAAACGGTCAACATGTCGCAAAAGACACGGCCTAATGACCAGATGTCTGAACTGTTATCACGAGCATCCGCATACCAAACTTCGGGAGCGCAATAGCCTTGGGTCATAGCAGACGGTCCCTCTGTGGTAGGGTGAGACCCACTCCAGTCGAACGAAATACCAAAGTCGCACAAGTAGACAGTCCTGTTGTGCAGAAGGATATTGCCTGGTTTGATATCTTTGTGGCGTATGGACTGCCTGTGTAGATACGCCAATGCAGATGCTAAACACCCAAACCATTGCCGTAAGTTGGTGGAAATTTCGAGGTTAAGTGGTGTGGAGGGGTTATGCAACACATCCTTGAGTGAGGTGTCTGCTACAGGATCAAGAACAAGTGCGAAGTCCTCCAGATCCGTGTAGCTTGCGACGAGTCGTACCATGTGAGGATGGATGACCGTGTCAGGATGACTGATTTTGCGCAGTATAAGTAGCTCGTCCATGAATGGCTGGAGGTGCTTTTCCTGTTTATTTCTCTTGTCGCGCGTCAAGCGTTTGCAGGCGTATAGTCGTCCTTTGTCCGGATTATCAAAAGTGGTAAGCTGCACTCTGAAGACTGTAGCTGTTCCTCCATTGTCCAATTCCTTTTCGTCCTTGAAGGTGCGCTTTCCATTTTCCAGATGAAGGTGCAGCTGTGAATTGTGATCTAAACTTTCCTGGCTTCTGAGCTTAGGATTTGACAATAGGTACCGCTGTGCCTTTCGGAATTCGTCCCAGGGTTTCGCGTTACACAGAGCGTTTAAGGTTTTGAATATACTCTCGTTGAGAGGCAGACAATAGTCGTTGACATTAGCGCTCAGGATCTCCTCCAATACATTGTTGTCGCACTCTAGCATGCGCAAGAGAGTGAACAGTCGGGGTCTGTCGCTGAATTGCGTGATCAGGGGATCTTCGTGTTCCTCCAGAACCTTCCGAATATCGAAGACAATGGCATCATCTACAAACGGCGAGCTGTATAGGTTGGAGGTCAAGTGATCGATTTCCTCTCCGCCCACTGCGCACGTGGGGCACATGATGATGCCGATTTTGTGGAGACGGGCATCTCCAGGTGAACGCGAGAAGAACCAGGCTGAAAGTCGAAAGATTGCTGGGGAAGTGCGGTAGCCACGTCGAACTTGGTGGCGCCTGTTCGTTTTGATGGTTGCCTGCCGCCTGCGGCTCTTGCAACCCCTGCTCAACCCCAACTCAACCCCAGCTTCCCCGTCCCTCCGCACCGTTCCAATCTCCACCATGCATCACAACATCACCGCATCATGGCTAGTGGCTCTGACAATACTTACTTTCTACTGTTTCTGCAATCATCAGGCTTCAAAGGCCCATAAAACCTGAATTATAGTGGCTGAGCCCCCGGCTGTATAAGCCAAGGGGTCCTCCTGCAAAGCCAAGCACGCCTCAGCCCCCACACAGAGTTCTGTGTGCAACCTCACGGACAAATTTGTCTCGCTGGCAGATCTTTCAGCTTATCCACCAATATTGGCCATATGAATGCCAAGCAGGAGCTATTCTCACCGGTGATGAATCGAGATGGTCGACGCAGCAGAGCCTCATTGCGTTGTGGCCTGTTGTTCAGTCCAATGCGAATGAGCCGCCCTCTAGATCATTCGCAGGTATAAGCGTTCGGCATATCCCCTCTGATCAGCCTGGTACCTGACTACATTGCCTACCTCCAACGGCCTTTCAGGTACATGCTGACACGATGAGCGGCGACCGTACAGACACTGCCGCCGCACCTGTAGGGGGTAAAACAGACCGACGACTGATCAATCCTTTCACAAAATGGTCTCACGATGAAGTGCTACAACATGCAGAGGCTTTCATACTGAGATCGGGCCTGAACGACTACAGAGATCACCTTCGCAAGGGTGCATCCCTCGCACAGTCGAGAATACTACTTGACAACGGAGAATCTGGATACGGTGGCATGACCTTGAGCGACAAGGAGCGCGAAGCGCTTCGTAAGGAGTACAGCGACAACCGGTGGGACCGCTTCAACCAGCCAAAAAAATTGTACTTCCTTGTGGCCTGTTGTTCACTCGGTGCTGCGGTGCAAGGATGGTACGTAGAGCGAAGTCGCAATCTTGTCCCTCTTTGACACCAATAGGGACCAAAGTGCCATCAACGGAGCGCAGCTCTTCTATCCAGATCACTTTGGCATCGGAAACAACACTACCTTGATAGGACTTGTGAACGGCGCCCCATACCTTTGTTGCGCACTGGCTTGCTGCCTCAATTACCCGTTGAACAAATACCTCGACCGCCGCGGTGTTATTTTCGCAACCTGCCTCATAAGTTCCGTAACTTGTCTTCTACAAGCATTTTCACAAAAGTGGTGGCATCTGTTCCTCGCAAGGTTCGCATTGGGGTTCGGAATCGGACCGAAGAGTGCTACTATACCAATCTACGCGGCTGAAGCTGCTCCAGAAAATATTCGAGGCGCACTGGTGATGATGTGGCAGATGTGGACTGCATTTGGTATCATGTGTGGCTGCTTATCCGGTGTCGCATTCACAAAAGTTGGTGGTACCCTTGGGTGGCGACTAATGCTCGGCAGCCCAGTATGTGCGAGTCAATCCAATTCGAATGCTTGCTGCTGACCAAAAGTAGATGGTACTTCCACTCCTCGTCGTTATATATATCTACGCCCTGCCGGAGTCTCCACGAGTTTTACTTGCTAAAGCACGGAAAGATGGATCAAAAGCACATGAGCTTTACGAAGAGGCCTTTCTCGCCCTGAACGGTCTTCGCAATTCCAAAGTCCAAGCAGCGCGCGACCTTTTCCTGATGGACTATCTCTTGGGAGAGGAAGCCAAGATAATGCATGATCAAAGGCGGTTTGTTGAGCTATTTACCGTCGGTCGGTGTCGTCGCGCATTGACAGCATCTGTCATCTGTATGTTCCTGCAACAGATGTGCGGTGTCAACATCACAGTCTACTACTCATCGCAGACCATGAAGGTGGAAGCAGGCTGGTCTCCTGAGAGTTCACTTTTGCTATCTGCCGGCTTTGGTATTATCAACTTTCTCTTCGCGTTCCCAGCGGTGTGGACGATCGACACCTTTGGACGCCGAAACCTTCTCCTCTTCACCTTTCCGTTCATGGCTTTGTTCCAGTTCATCATGGTTGTAGCCGTGGCTCTACCGGATGTTGCCCAAAAACGCGCGCTTGCGATTGTAGGAATGTACCTGTTTGGTATTGCCTATTCACCAGGTGAAGGGCCTGTACCGTTCGTCTATAGTGCCGAGTCCATGCCTTTGTACAATCGCGACTACGGCATGGGTATAGTCACTGCCATCAATTGGCTCTTCAACTTCATCGTGTCTTTTACTTGGCCAAGCATGAAAGATAGTAAACATGGACTGGGGCCATCGGGAGCCTTCGCCTGGTATGGAGTGTGGTGTCTTATAGGATGGTGGCTGATTCTCTTATTTGTGCCAGAAACGAAAGATTTAACACTGGAAGAACTAGACCAAGTCTTCGAGAGGCCAACACGCCACTATATAGAGCATGGGTTAGACCAGCTCCGATGGTTCATTGGGTACCACGTCTTGAGAAAGAGAGGCATGAAGAATGGAAGACCGATATTCATCCAGAAAGTCGAAACAAAGAGGCGACGTGACCCAAGGGGTGACCGCCCGCAGATGGCACAGCGACTAAATTAATTGACCAGTCTCGAAGCCGAATAAGCAATTTACGGGAATGAATCGGCGATCACGTACTCTTGCAGCGTTTATAGTCCTTATTAGTCTGACTTCTATCAACAAAGTGCGCAATCACATAGTTACCATATATTGGAATTGGAATGTTTTTTCGTAGCATGTTGACGAGTGCGGATTCTTTCCGCATGTCCATCGGCAACGTCAGCCACCATGTGCTGACAGCACAGGGTATGCTTAGGCAACTAGCTCTTGTATTAACATCATCAAAAAGTAGTAGGCTTGTATACTCGGCAGCTACAGTTCTTATAGAGCGTCGACTTGACTCATTCCGTAGGAGATTACCGCATAGTCCACTATTGGAATCCACCACTCCTTCCCAATACCTCTTCTCGACCGTCCAGGCCTCAGATCCAACTCGCAAGATCGTAAAACATCCATCCCGCATCCAAGATGCAGAAGCGCGCCAAAAGATCTGCCCGTAAACCAAACCGCGCTCCCCTTCCCTCGCCCCAAATCCTAGACCCCCAACCCTCAGGAACCCAACCCATCATCCGCCAAGGTCGCGAAGCAGTCGTATACCACATCCCCATCTCTCCACCCTCCCTTCCCCTCCCTTCTTCACCCACGCCATCCCCATACAAAACCACAATCTCCCTCCCCCGCTACTCTACATGGACATCAGGACTGCACTTCCACACCACGCACACCGAATACCTACGTCTACTCCGCGGCGCCATCTTCATCTACCTCGACGGCGAGACCCAGATCCTAAGCGCGAAGGCAGGCGGCAGCGTAGCCATATACGGGGATAAGACTGCAGTAAACGCAAGACCTGGCTTACAAGTCAAAGTAAACAAGTACGCGAGACATGACTGGGGCAGAGCACGTGAGTACTTGTCACGTAGCAGAAGAACAATCTGCGTCGCACCGCGTCACCCAGAAGACGTCGACGACGAGGTTGTGGTGGAGGAGTGGACGGAGCCGGTAGATCTGGCCAAGCCGCTGTTCTTCTGGAATCTAAATGCTGTTGTTTTGACGCCGCTGGATGCGCGTCTAGAAAGAAGGAGGAAGAAGGCAGCGAGGTGGATGTTAGGTAGATGGTGGGTGTCTTTGCAGCTGTTTACTATCTTTCATGAATTGGATAACTGGCCTGTTGTTGTTGGGTTGAGGGGTATGCTGGGTGAGGAGACGGGCTGGCCGTGGATGGAGAGATGGAATCGGCAGATTGAGGGTGCGGTGGAATGGTGCATTATCATGATTGTGGTGGGATTCGCGAGGGCGGTGGGGTGGGTGTTGGGCGTTAAGGCTGTTGAAAAGGGACGGACGCCGGAAGGGTTATGGGAGGGATATCGAAAGAACAGAGCGTGGAAGCAGGTGTGATGATCTTTGATGTATCGCGCGAAATTTGTATCATCTTCTAATGCGATAGAAATCTATAATGTGAGCACATGAATCAACGGCGCTACTATAACAGATCCGACTTCTCCTTTTCCTCGTCGACTAGGTCTCTGAACTCCTCAAACGCTTTCTGATCCATCGGGTACGTATGCTGCTCAGCAGGATAACTCCTACTCTTAACCTGTAGAAATGGAGACAAAGAGTCAGTGCATGTTTCACGAGTATCAGTGCACTTGCAACTTACCTCATCCTTGTACTGACTTATCGCCCTATGTGCCTCCTCCCACACGTTGCCATACTGCTTCACAAACTTGGGCAAAAACCTTCCCGGCGGGAAATTTCCCAACATGTCGACCTGCACGAGCACCTGCCCTGAGCACCCATTCCCGGCCCCAATCCCAATCGTCGGGATCCGCAACTCCCTCGTCACCAACGCAGCGACTTGTGCAGGCACAGCCTCCAGTACCACCGCGAACGCTCCGGCTTGCTGCACGGCGAGTGCATCGTCCAGGAGCTTGAGAGCGCTGTGTGTGGATTTACCCTGCACACGGAAACCACCAAGAGCGTTTTGGCGCTGTGGTGTGAGACCGATGTGCGCGAGGACAGGGATGCCGGCGGATGTTATCTTGGAGATGGTGGGTGCCATTTCGGCGCCACCTTCCAGTTTTATGGCCTTCATGCGGCCGATCTTTATCATACGGATAGCAGATTCGAGGGCTTGGGCGGGAGAGATTTCATAGGTTCCCATGGGAAGGTCGCCGACCTAGTCAAACATTCAGCATCTGCAAGCGGACATGACTTGGAGGTAGTCGCGAGAGTGAGTAAGGGGGTATGGAGAGATAAAAATGGACATACAGTGAAAGCGCCTTTCGTCGCGCGCGCCACGGACTTGCAGTGCAGCAGCATCTCCTCCATTAATACTTCGCTCGTGTCTTCCATGCCGAGCGCAACCATGGCTAGACTGTCTCCAACTAGTATCATGTCCATGCCAGCATGGTCGGCGACATGAGCGCTGGGGAAGTCATGCGCGGTGATCATGGTTATGGGCTCGCCTTTGCGGTAGAGACTCTGAAGCGTGTTGATGGTGACGGGTTTACGGGCGTTTGCTGGCGCAGAGCCCAACGGTGAGTGCGAACTCCATCGCTTTTGTGCGCAGGTCAAAGCGGTTCGCGGTATTGGCGACGACGATGATTGGTATATACGTGGTGCTGCTGCAGTATATCGCGAGCATGTTCGCAGCACGTTTACGAGGGCACGCGACATGGCGGAAGTGTCGCAAGTGCGGTGGTGGAGAGGATTTTTGGAGTGAGAAAGATTTTCACAGCCCCTGGAGACGACGCGGAGATGTGTTCGTAAGCCATGGCTTTAGGGCGGGAGGGGGATTGCTTTTAAGCAACATGTGCAGAAAGCTGCGCTGAAGATTGTATACCTAACCTTGGAGTTGAGGAAGAACCGAGGGTCAGCCTCCACCCGCCGAGACGCCAGGGGTGTCACCCTTTCGGCGAGTCGAATGCTCGGTACACCCCGCCTTCAGTCATTACTACTCAAGTGTCATGGCGCATATGTCTTGTGTTTTTCTTTCTTGTCTCTGTTCTCCAGCGAAACAGTTAGCATGTACAACGTATCGTTCGGACCAGCGGTGAAGGACTCAGGCAGGATCTCGGGGAAGCTGCGGCATTGCTCCACAGTGATTGGACGTCTGCTGTGCTGGCTGCAGCACATTCAAACGTGAACGCGCATCGACGAAGATGATCTCTATGTCTTTCTCCAAGTCCTGTGGTGATAGGTCCGGTCTTGCTGGCGGATTGCCAGTCTAAGCTATCTGTTGCGAGCATCTCTCATTGTTGTCATGAGGCTGGTCGAAGCCCTAGATTCCGAAAACTCCCAGGCACTTGCTCTGTCGCAACCGAGCATAGACACTTGGCGCTAGGTTCGCGTCATGTTTAGTCGTAGACTGTCTTTGGAGTATCGGCTTGTAGATCTGGACCCTTGATGTGGCTACCGGTTTGCGGTACCTGGTGATGCAGCCTTTCGTTTCATCACATCTGTACTGTCTGTTAGTAGAAGCGTAGATGAATTATGTAATATTAGGTCTCAAGATGAGACGATGATTTGTTAAGAAGAAGCTTCTGTGAATGCTCGAGAAGGTATATCACAGCGATGGCGCGTCATGTTCTCGGCGATGACTGGCCGGGGAGACGTGCGCAAGCGTGACATGCCGGCTCTCGAGGCTCGTGATCATCACTACCTCCACCATCACTCCCACTTGCTCCCTCCAACACATCCTAGCCAAACAAAAGACAGTAACACACGACTGCCAAATACGACACGAATCAAAGGCTACGGACAGCCATACCTTGCCAACAAACCACTTGTAGCTTGCCAGCGAACGCGCCCCTCATCCGCTATCGATAACCCCCGCCGCCGACCTCACGAGAGCTTCCGCCACGAGCGACGGACTACCCTGAAGATCTCGAATACCCCCAGAAGGAAGTGCAGCTTCACAATAAGAACAACACACTTTTATAGTGCTGTAGCAACCGCGTCAAGATGAGTTCGCCAAAGAGACGTATCGAGACGGATGTATGTGGAGACCTTCACCCTGGGGATAGATAAGAAGGAACAAGAGCTAACAGAGGCCTTCTGTCGAACTATACAGGTCATGAAGTAGGTCGCGCATCGTTAGGCTGGAATATAGAGTGCTAACAGCAGAACAGGATGTATGTTCATCGGTTTCCTCGCTCATTTGCCTCACGCGCCTGGCACCCCTATGGCGGACCCTAGAGCTGGTAGCTAACGGAACGCAGGCTCATGAGTGACTACGAGGTGACGCTCGTCAACGATAACAGTGAGTAGCGTTGCGCCGATTCCTGTCAGATACACAGCTAACAAATTACAGTGTTAGTGATTTCTACCATTCAAATACGCACCCACTGAAAGGATGCTAACACACCGTAGGCAGGAGTTTTACGTCAGGTTCAAGGGCCCGGTAGAGAGTAAGACAGGAAATCTTACACAACAACATTGCGCTAACGTCATACAGCGCCATTCGAAGGTGGCCTCTGGAAGATCCACGTCGAGCTCCCCGACCAATACCCCTACAAGAGTCCCAGCATCGGATTTGTTAACCGCATCTTCCATCCCAACATCGATGAACTGTACGACTCACCCGCTCTCTTCCACCACGTCAATAAACTCCCGCTTACATACACAGCTCCGGCTCCGTCTGCCTCGATGTCATCAATCAGACCTGGTCACCAATGTACGACATGATCAACATCTTCGAAGTCTTTCTTCCCCAACTCCTGCGCTACCCCAACCCAACCGATCCCCTCAACGGAGAAGCTGCGGCGCTGTTGATGCGAGAACCGAAAAGCTACGATGCCAAGGTCAAGGGTACGTAGTATAAAGGTGCTAGGAGTAAAGTTGGACTAAGATTAGACAGAATACGTTCAGAAGTACGCCAACAAGGATACCGCTGAAGACTCCGACAAAGACGATGGCGACGACGATGAGATGAGTTCGGTTGGTAGTTACGAGTCGGGTGATGAGGATGAGGCGGCAGGGAACATGGAGGATATCTGAGATCCTATCAGCCTCCCTTCGTACTATTCGCGGCCCTTCCTCTTCACTCTGTCTCCATGGCTGGCGATATGGCGCACAAAGGGTACGTTGCTACTTATTCCCCTGGTATTTGGCTGCTTCACGGTTTGGGTATAGGATGAGACTTTTCTGTTGGCGTTTTCGTTGATTACTTTCGGACAACATGACAGGGGTTAGAGAATATGCTATTACCATTCCATCGTCCCTGGCCTTTGTAGACGGAATGACTGGATAGCCTTTCCGAATCTAAATTTCTGTGGCAATATCTGGATTAGTGTATGTCGTGTCAAGTACCTTATGGTTTCATTGTTTGCGGCCATCTTCTTCGCTTGCATAAACTCGGTTCTAATCTCGTGTATTTTCGCTCGATTCCGACAGCCAAGGAAGATCAATTGAGCCATACCATCACAGCAACAACATCAACAACAACAACACGACGCCCTGAATAACACATTGCAACTGCTCCGAACATCGAACTAGGCACTGATCTGCTCTTCTATGCGCAAAGTCTGCCTTACGATATATATCTAAGAGACTACAAGACGTATAGCGTATCTAGAGCGATGATCTTCTCTCATTAAACTTTGATAAAAGAAAGTCTTGGGAGATTAGAAACCAAGCGCAAGTCTACTAACAAGATAGTGCGATTGGATATTGTTGTGTGTATGTAGATCTCGTGAGCCGGACGGCCGTATTGTCGTCACTGCCACTATTGTTCTGACTTTCCCCCTTGTCTTGTGTGACGTAAGTTCGCCCTTACCAGTGACACTGGTGGTGAAGATCGCATGAGGACGCGTTTATCAGCTTCTACCAGCTCGTTTGAAAGAAACATCCGCAGTATATAGCTTTATTGCGCATTTGGAGTTTGAAGACAGCGACCTGATATAAGCTTATATGACCCGTAATGCAGGCTATGACAATGTTTGTCACAGGTTTTCATACACCAACAGACGCAGTCCTTTTGTTACGACTGGGACGAAGGTAGTGAGAAAGGGCAAGGTATAGGCTGTATGCCTACTGCTGTATGTGATGTTCTACCAACTTATTTCCCTACCAAAAGGTTGTCGACAAACTTTCTAGTTTTCTCACCGATGCGATGAGGAAGCTCTTCTTGTGGAAAATGACCAGAGTTTCCGAGCCTAACAACTGGGGGGTTGCCCATCCACTCGGCAACATCATCAACCCTGTGCGGCGGCAACAACATACCTGGGTTTACTCAGAATGATAGTTTTGGAACTTGGTTGTTGCCCTCCTTCAACCTACCGATATGAAGATGCGAGGTCAGTGTATGTCTCACATGCATTTCGTACAGTCACAACTCACCAGTTCCAAGCTTTATAAAGAATCTCGCCGACTACTGGGGCACGACCCTCAAGTGGAATCTCGTTAGGCATCCGCCATTGGGGTTCGCGGTCAGCCGGATGTGCAAACGGCCTACGATAGTGTTCCATTACCGCGTCAGAAAGAGATCCCTTTGAAGTACCTTCTTCCCTAAGAATGACTTCAACGAAGTAATTCTCTTCAATGACACACTGGTGCCCAGTTTCGGGATCGCGCATCTTAGTCAGATTCCTCTCCCAGCCTACGAAGTCCTCCGTAGTCACCATCATGTGAATGAACTCCATGCAAACCAATCCAGCCATTCGTTCCTCATTCTTTCGTGCCCAGTCGAATCCCAAACCAAAGCCCCAGTCGTGTATAACGAACACCACCTTTTCGTTCGCTGGTACTACAGCTTCCATAAACGCCGCAAAATATTCAATATGCTCTTTAATGTGCGATTTAAGGGGCCGGAAAGTGTATGATATGGCCATAGAGTGTTCGTTTTGTCGACGGCATCCAGGATGTTCGTCACAGCTTGTTGCCATTGAGATATTGGATACACATACTGAAGGAGTGTTGACAAGAATACAGCATGTTTGCGATTTGTCATTTACCTGAATTGCAAATGCTGTGGCGTCTTGCACTGCACTATCATGAGGGGTTGAAACGTTCGCCGCATGAGAAAGTGGAACAAGGTATGCCGAGCATGTTCCGGTCGCGAAGAGATAATTGGTCAACTTCATCTTTCTTAGCAACGCTTCGCCTATCTTCCGTAATGCGATCTTACCCTGGTTTATTATATGTTGGAGTGGTTGTTTATCGCGTAGTGGAGCCTGCGACTTAGCTTCATTGCGCGATAATCCACAAAACTGACCAAGAGCCCAAGAAGTGGAGCGCCGGTAGAAGCGCCCTGGACGTGCCCCAACTGAGTTATATCCACCTTCCACACCTCCCATCAAGACGATTCCAGCGCGCATCAATTTGTGCCCGCTGCTTCACTCGCGAAGACAAGTCATGCGCACTTGCTGCCTCTCAACTGGCCTCAATACCGCAATGACGCCACGTCGCTCAAGCGATGCTTTCACGCTTCAATGAATGCGCATAATGATTCATTGTAAACGCCTGCTTTCTTTTTTACGAAACCGACTCCCAATAGTCGTGGTTGTGGTTATCACGCTCTTTGTCGACCTCAACGTCCTCCGCAGCGTCGTCCTTACCGTGTTCATCAACCTTGTAACCTCCCTCCCTGTTGGTAGAACATCCCGCCGCGCAGAACCACGAACATTGTTCAAGCACCACAGACTCGACCTCATCCTCTAATAAAGACTGAGCTAGCCTGAAACTGCACTTCTAGCGTGTCTTCGCCTACTGTATATCTTCAATACGAAAAATACAGCGTTGCTGGTTTTGCTTCTAGGCAATCTGTCTTTGGCTTCAGAAGCTGCAACGACGATGCACCCCTGCTCTACTATTAACAAGCACGATCATCGTCCCTTCGGAGCATTTGAACTATACCCTATCGCATAAAATAGAACTAGACGAAGTTTGATGATGTGCAGCCTCTATTTACATACACTCCGGGTTTGTCCGCATTCGCAGACAGGATCTTGTGTTTTGACGCGAGGACTGGACGCGCTTACATAGCGGGGTATTGTACGCATAGCGGTCTGCATTGTACACCCATGCTATGCCAAGATGGCTTGAGCTGTGGCGCATGCTGGCTATCTTTAGCCACGTCATGTCCTGCCCGATGGTCCTCTTCCTGGCGCTTCCGTAGGTCAACACCCCCATCATAGCCTGCCCCGATGCTTAGCAAAGCGAGGCACTCTACTCTCTTCTCCATGTGCGAACATGCACCTACCTGCATCCATCAACGTTAACGGCGACACGCGAAAGCGCAAACGATCGACCCAACAGCTTGATAGGCTGTCGCGCTTCCATGCTGTCCAGCCTGATGCGAGCAAGGACCGAAGCTCCTCCATCACAATATGCGACTGCTCGAGATACAACATGACGGCACGATCGCGCTCACCGAAGACTTGATGGGCGCCGGCAAAGTGCCCGCCTACGCTATACTCTCCCATACCTGGCTGCCCGGTCAGGAGGTCACCTTCGACGAGTTTAAAAGTGGTCTTGGACGTGACAAGGCTGGCTTCGACAAAATCCGCTTCTGCGCACAACAGGCCCAGGGGGACGGCCTGCGGTACTTCTGGGTGGATACGTGCTGCATCAACAAGGCAGATCATGTCGAGCTTCAGCATGCGATCAACTCCATGTTTCGCTGGTATCAGGAGGCGACTCGATGCTACGTTCTTCTAACGGATGTGCTCAACGCTGAGCCAGCGACGAATCGTGTACCCGACATGCCCGCTTGGGAAGAAGAGTTTCGGCGAAGCCGGTGGTTTACTCGAGGTTGGACACTCCAAGAGCTGCTTGCTCCGCGCGTTGTAAGCTTCTACACTAGAGACTGGACGCATCTAGGAGACCGATACAACCTCAAACAACTCATCCACGAGATCACAGGCATCCCCTGCCCTGCCCTTGCAGGAGCTAGGTTAGACACCTTCAGCGTAGAGCAGCGCCTATCTTGGTCAAGCAATCGTCAAACTACGCGCGAAGAGGACAAGGCGTACTCGTTGCTGGGTATCTTTGGCGTCTTCACATTCCTCAACTATGGCGAAGGCGAGTCCAATGCTTTTAAAAGGCTGCGAAAAGCGATCGCGGAAAACTCGCAGGAACCGTCTCAGCCAAATGCGTCACCTGGTACGTACGAATGCAGCCGGATAATCAGCTTATTGTGTGTCTGATCCGTTTGCGCTGACCTGCCAGCTGTCCACCACCCCTTGTACTACATACCGTTTCCCAAGAACCGATACTTCGTCGGAAGAACAGAAGAGCTCGAGATACTCAACCAGAAGTTGCTGGGGGGCACAGGCTGCCAAAAGATGTCGATTGTGGGACTCGGTGGGGCTGGAAAGACACAGTTAGCCTTGCGGTTTGCATACACAGTCAGAGAGACCATGTCAGCCGTTTCGATCTTCTGGATGCCTGCACTCAGCATGGAGAGCTACGAGCAAGCTTGTGTGGCTGTCGCTGCTGCTTTGCACATTAATCAGGCGGAGACGGGCGAAGATAACGCAAAAGAGCTGGTGAGAGAGCATCTGAGTGCGGATCAGGCTGGACCGTGGCTGCTTGTGCTCGATAATGCAGATGACTACGACATCTTGTATGGCGCCGAGCATGCTCCGGGCATCATCGACTACCTACCGGAGAGCGAGAAGGGCATGACTATATTCACCACGAGGGTACAAGAGCTAGCCGTGTCGTTGACACGAGGCGACGTTCTAGAGCTGGGGTCCATGAGCAAACCAGACGCCACGAACTTCTTAGAGAAGTCTTTGATTAGGAAAAACCTCACTGAGGACTGCGAAGCGGTAGAAGAACTACTAGACGAGTTGGCGTTCCTCCCTTTGGCCATCGCCCAGGCTGCTGCGTACCTGAACATAAACAGAACAACTATCACAAAGTATCTGCGGCTGCTAAGGCACACGGAGCAAGACACTATCAGTCTAATAAGCAAAGAGTTCTGGGACCAAACACGCTACAAGGGCTCGGCAAACGCAGTGGTCTCGACGTGGGTCGTGTCGTTCAGTCAGCTTCGAGAGCGCGACGCGGTGGCAGCAGACCTGCTAGCGTTCATGTCGTGCATCGAGTGGAAGGCAATACCGCAGTCGCTGCTACCGAAGCTGCAATCGCAAGGGCGATTAGAAGAGGCTATCGGCACGCTCTGCGGGTACTCCTTTGTATCAAGGCGGGAAGGCGACAACGCTAGTGAGGTCGATAGAGGAGAAGAATGGTACGACTTGCATAGACTTGTGCATCTGGCTACTAGAGTCTGGGTAGACAAGTATGGTAGTACTGCAGATGTGGCGCAGCAGGCTGTTGCACATATTGCCGAGGTTTTTCCGAGCGACGACTTTGCCAACCAGGCCGTATGGAGAGCATACATGCCGCACGCACTGCGACTACTTTATACAAAAACATCTGTTAATGCTCAAAGCAAAGCCAAGCTGAGTTTTTGGGTGGGACGATGCCTAGATTTCGACGGTAGAGTTCCAGAAGCAGTGAGATGGCTAGAGGAGTGCCTACGTTGCAGAGAGGGGCTGGACGAAGATGATCTAGATCGGCTGTCGTCTGAACATGAGCTTGGTGTTTCCTACCAGGCGAACGGACAGATCGAGGACGCTGTACGGCTGCTAGAGCACGTAGTTAAGGTGCAAGACGATACGCTCGCAGAGACTCACCCTGATCGGCTAGCGTCGCAGCATCAGCTTAGTGTTTCCTACCAGGCGAACGGACAGATCGAGGACGCTGTACGGCTGCTAGAGCACGTAGTTAAGGTGCAAGACGATACGCTCGCAGAGACTCACCCTGATCGGCTAGCGTCGCAGCATCAGCTTAGTGTTTCCTACCAGGCGAACGGACAGATCGAGGACGCTGTACGGCTGCTAGAGCACGTAGTTAAGGTGCAAGACGATACGCTCGCAGAGACTCACCCTTCTCAGCTACAGTCGCAGCATGCGCTTAGTAGTTCCTACCAGGCGAACGGACAGATCGAGGACGCTGTGAGGCTGCTAGAGCACGTAGTCAAGGTGCGAGACGATACGCTCGCAGAGACTCACCCTGATCGGCTACAGTCGCAGCATGCGCTTGGTAGTTCCTACCAGGCGAACGGACAGATCGAGGACGCTGTACGGCTGCTAGAGCACGTAGTTAAGGTGCGAGACGATACGCTCGCAGAGACTCACCCTGATCGGCTACAGTCGCAGCATGCGCTTGGTAGTTCCTACCAGGCGAACGGACAGATCGAGGACGCTGTACGGCTGCTAGAGCACGTAGTTAAGGTGCAAGACGATACGCTCGCAGAGACTCACCCTGATCGGCTAGCGTCGCAGCATCAGCTTGGTGTTTCCTACCAGGCGAACGGACAGATCGAGGACGCTGTGAGGCTGCTAGAGCACGTAGTCAAGGTGCGAGACGATACGCTCGCAGAGACTCACCCTGATCGGCTACAGTCGCAGCATGCGCTTGGTAGTTCCTACCAGGCGAACGGACAGATCGAGGACGCTGTACGGCTGCTAGAGCACGTAGTTAAGGTGCAAGACGATACGCTCGCAGAGACTCACCCTGATCGGCTAGCATCAGAGGGCTGGTTACGCTATATAATTTCGCATAAAGAATAAATTCTATTCTTTCTCTTGCAACATTTCTATGTTGTGTATTCTCAGCAGCGTTTCTTGATGCAACGCTTCGACATGCCTCAGGCAGTCAGGCGCTTCAAAGGCTGTATTTTAGAGCTAAGGTCTGAGAATACACGTAAGCATAGCCATTGCGACTCGACAGTAATCTATACATGTCGTAAATCTTAAAAAAGGCCTCAAGAGCTACAGAGTACTCTACTCAATCGCAAAGGCCCAAGGACTTAGCATGCATGTCTGGAAGATTTCTAACAAATGTATATCTAAACTATGTAGAGTGCTAGTACATCTTCGCAACTGGGATTCTCCATGAGGTTGCTAGACTGTTGTCTGATGCTATCACCCCGCTAGTTCGCGCTACTTTATTCGATGGCGGTGGGGCTTCTAACGCTGGTTCCTTGCGCTTGCGACCACGCTGTCCCTTCTGTGCTGCAGCCTTGTCTTTTTCCGCACGCCTCACCTTCGCCTCTTCTAGGTCCTCAAAACTTATCACTTTCGCCTTTCCTAGCACGATAGATCTAGTCGACCTACGAGCCTTAGCTTCGTTGTTGATCTTGAAGAGAAAACGGTTGCGGTCCTTCAGGAGAGCTCGCTCGGCGAACGAGATCTGAGCAGCATTTGCGAGCTTCTGTATGCGACCTCTTGTCTCGTCAGGCACGTTGGTGTCTTGCTTGATCACGTTGTGCAAGGATGTAAGCGCTTCCGCTGTCACCGGCGTCACCGGTGTGATGGGTGTTTGAAGCACTATATCAGCCGCACTGGTGCCCGCAAGGGTGGCTTCCGGGATGATGACCTCAACTGGAGGTCTCGGGATATCTTTCAGCACTCTTTCCGGATTAAAGGGGTACAGACCGGTCGCAGCCCATCCAGCTCTGATGTTCCTTTTGGTCAATGCTGTATCTCTAGCAGGACTGTACAGATAGGTAAAATGTTCTTTGCCGACTATATCTATGCCTCCCCGGTTGAGTCGTTCGACCTGGTCACGATACGCTGTCTTCAAGGGTGCGAAAGGGC